TTCTTCACGTGGCTGCTTCTTTGGCGGTAAGAAACACAAGCTCACTTCCACTTTATCTCACAAGATACCATTCTAATCATTCCACGCATATAGTTTTTCTTTTACATGTGCAGCTTTTGGATATTTATTTATTAACACAAAATAGGTGATTGGAATGACTTTTTTTGTGGCTATTTACAAATCCACACTGCTCCTCCTGCTTTGGTGAAGGAGGTCCTATGCAAACCTGCTCATATTGAAAAACATGTTAATGTTATTTTAGTTGTATTTATTGTCATTTTTCAAATTTAAAGCAATACCTGAAAACCAAACAGTCATAGAAGGACTGTGTATCTTCACTGTTTACCATTCCTTGTGTTTGGTTCTGTGACATTTGATCTTGATAGTTAGGCAGGCTGCTTATTGTACTTAAACATGTTTGAGTGTGGTTCCTGATCAAATAGAACATGCCTCTATTACACTGCAGTTCTGACTATGAATCTTTGAGTGTCAGCAACAACCTCTGCCTTTTTTGGGATTTTCATTGTTTTTCCCTCAGCTCTTTGTTCATCAGTAAAACTGTCAAGTAGACCAACTTCTCTTTCCTGAGCCATTCAATTGGATTGTTGAAGGTTGCATACAAACTCAACAGTAAATGAAACATTATGCATTTCATCTTTTCATATGCTGTTTGCATCCAGAAATAAGTAAGTATGAGCGAGATGTTGGTTCTGACTGTTTGCATCCTACCACTTTAAAATCCATGTTAGCCCATGTGTAGCGGTGACTAATGGTGTCCTTCTGGCTCTGTCCAGGCCCCGGTGCCGTGTGAAGAGAAGGTGGTTCATCTGGAAGCACAAATCCAAGGTCTGAAGACCCTGATCGGCGACCAGCATGGCTACATCCAGGCACTCCACAACAGCCAGGCCGGGCAGCTGGAGCTCATACCCAGCTCCCATCTGGGCCCAGAGAAACTCTTTAAAGGTGGGGAGAGATTTCCATGACAGATACATACTTTGAATAAACTGTATCTGCCTTTACTTTCCTACAACGTGACAACCTAATTGCTTCTTTACCTACACACCAAGTTAGTCACATTCTAGATATCAACCCTCTTTACCATACAGTATGTCCAGCCTGAGTCCTTAGCTTTTGTTAAAGCCATGCTAATTAGTATCGTTTTATAGTCAGTGGATGAAATGAATATATTTTTATATTAATATATTATTATATTTAGTTGTATTGTTAAAAGGGGTTTCTTATATCGGAAACCCTTGAGAGAAGAACAGAGAAAAGGTTTATTGAGAATCAAAGAACACTGTTCCCCTGCTTGTAAACAGAAGACTGTCAGGTCTTGTGTGGAGTTCCTCGGCATACAAGTGTCATGTATTCATTCATAATAAATGTGCTGCTTACCAATCAGCAGTTAGCATTTTGTAGCTTAGTCATGGCCCTGCAGCTGCTCCACAGGAAAAAACGTCACGCCGCTGAGATTCTCACTACCTTTATGTGGCTTTTAATGTATCTCAAATATTTAACTAGCAGTTTGAATAATTCACCTGGTGTGTATGTGTGTGTTCAGACTGCTCCGAGCTGTTTGCAGAGGGTAACATGGCCAGCGGGCTGTATGTGATCCGTCCACACGGCTCCCCCTCCTCACTCAGCGTCTACTGCGACATGAACAACGGGGGAGGGTGGACCGTCTTCCAGAGGAGGAGAGACGGCGAGGAGAGCTTTGACAGGTGTGTCTGTGTGTGTATATCCTTTTTTACACACACAAAAATAGGAGTTCTACTCTGCATGTGTCAAATGATTTGAGAATGCAGGTAATTGTATAAGCAGTGTTTGCCCTGTGTGAGCAGAGCGTGGGTGGAGTACAAGCATGGGTTTGGTGACCTCTACTCCCCTGATGGAGAATTCTGGCTGGGGAATACAGCTCTACACAATCTCACCTCCACAGGTTTGTGTGTGTGTGTGTGTGTGTGTGTGTGTGTGTGTGTGTGTGTGTGTGTGTGTGTGTGTGTGTGTGTGTGTGTGTGTGTGTAGGTGTGTGTGTGTGTGTGTGTGTGTGTGTGTGTGTGTGTGTGTGTGTGTGATGGCTGCCTGTGTAACTCTGTGTCTTCTAGGAAACTACGACCTGCGGATCGACATGCAGGACTTTGAGGGTAACCAGCGCTATGCAGAGTACAAGAACTTCAAAGTTGATGACGAAAAGGTAAAACTACCCAAAAATAAAATAATGAGTATAAAAAAGTTTAATAAAAGAAAAAGTCACTTCTCATTGCAACAACAACTAAATCCTTTAACAGGAGTCCAGATTTTAAATGAGCAGAAAAGAGATCATTTGATTGTCTTTTGTTGAATTGAACAATAGAAGTCTTCATACTGGATCGAATAAGTCAATCATTTTGCACATCTGTTTGTATTGTAAGCGTATTGAAACCTTCTCTCTGTGTCTCTTTCTGCCTTTCTCCTCGCCTTCCCTTTATTTCCCATAACACAGAGCTATTATTTAGACCAAGTATTTTGTTTGTGTTTGATGATCTCTGCTATGGAAAACACAGCAAGGCCGTCTGGCTTCAGGCCAGCTGCTCTGCATCTCTCCTTCTCTCCTTTCATCACTTTTCTTTCTCTTCTTTCTTTCCTTTCAAACGTTTAGCCCGTATTGCTACGTGATTTCTTTCTTCACTCTTATCTTTATCAATATAAAGGCTTTTACTAGCCTATTCTGAAGTCATTTCAAACCATCTAAGCCTCATCAGCTCTGCAATCCACAGTATCATGTGCCAACATTTCTTGCAGTAATTTCTTTTGATAAATTAAATGTTTTGTATTTCTGTATTAAAAGTTGGTTCCTCATTGTAACGGCAAAACTCCCGATAAATGATGCTAAAACGTGGCTTATACTCTGCCGCGCTGCAAGAAGGGTCCGTGCTGAAGTTGTGGTTGATCATTTAATAAAGCAAATAACATAAATAATCATCTTAGCAGGACCATACGGTCTCACCCTCTCTGTCACCCACACAAGCACAACAGGTGCACTGAACACCTGACACCACACCCATGTGATAACTGTCAGAAGTGACCAATACTACCTGTGTGCCGTGTAAACAAATATTTACAATAACAGAAATAATAAGCTGTGGCAAAATAAGCATTTTGGCTCCTACACTCCTATGAAAGGGCTTTCCTGAAGTGTTTTGTCTCCTGTGTTCACTCAAAGGACCAGTACCAGTTACATGTGGGAGAGTACACTGGGAACGCTGGGGACGCCCTGGCTCATGTCCACAGCCCCCCCTCTGCCGGGAAGAAACGGACTGGTCCATTTCTTACAGAAGAACTCCCTGGGTCAAACGGGATCAAGTTCAGCACCTATGACCAGCTTAATAACGGAGACACGGAGAACCACACCAGTTGCATCAGACACAGCAGGTCCGGCTGGTGGTTCAGCAGGTGGGTCCGTCACTCAGTAGAACCACACACGCAAAGAGAGGAACAACCACGGGGCAAAGGTCAAAATGGCAATTTACACACACAGGTTATACAGAAGGTACTGCAGGTCTTCTTCTGTCTCTCCTCGCTGCAGGTGTGACTCAGGAAACCTGAACGGTCACTACTACAGAGGCCCGGACCAAGCCATGGCTGATGACGGGGTGGTTTGGTACACGTGGCACGGCTGGTGGTACTCTATCAAATCTGTGGTCATGATGGTACGAGCCGCTGACCTCGAGCCTCGGCCACAGGTGATTGCCCCGTTACCAGGACGACAGGCCAGCAGCAAAGCAAAGGGCGACACCATTGAAGATCATCATGGCCGACTTCAACACTGAAAGCAAGAGAGGAAGTCTCCTACTGCAGCCCAACAGCTTCCTGAAATCCCACACATCAAACATCATTCTATGTCATCTCTTTAAAGTCTTTCATCTAATGTTTGACTTGTATGTCAACTCTGCAATTATTTCAATATCCAAATAAAACAATGGTGCTTTTATCTCATATCCTTTTGTATTTATTTCATGTCCAAAATAAAACAACATGGTGAACTGAGGCATTTTAGGAACATCTGAGTTTTTTCACCAGACATATAAAGGTATTTTGGATTCAGTAAAATGAGCCAGTAATCGCTCAGTCAATGAGATTGTGGGAGATTCTATCTGTGGAAATGATAACGTGTGTGTTTTTCTGGTGGGATCCAAAGTAAAGACAGATGTTGATCAGCCACTAGCTGAGCATGGCCTGGTTTCTGTTGGTCAATGAGCCATTTCAAGGGGAAAGTAAAGGGGCAAACACACTTCTGCATATTTGGCTCTGAGATGATGTGTTAAGTCTCTGAACTGACAGCTCAGATCTAACATCCAAGGGTGATCACATTCCACAAAGTAGTTTCAGGTAGAGGTTGTGAGGAGCTTACACAGAGGAACAGATCTAGAGGTCAGTGCCTCAGATCAACAGAAGGACAATACGTTGTTCACTTCTTCCAGAGCTCCAAAGCAGATGAGGGATTGAGTTTCGCTCTTTGGGAAAAAGGTCCTCTTTAAAAGAAGGGGAATAGGCAAAACAATCCATGCCACCAAACACCCAAACCACTCTGAGTGTGTTTCCACAACCTGCAAGAGGCTCAAGTCCAAGGTTTCTTCTCACCTGCCTCTTTAGAAAGAGCGGTATAAAATAACAGGATAAAAGGATCCTAAATTGTACAACATATCAGAACAAACATGGAAGGATAGTCATAACAAGAGTGAGGCGCCATGTACAGACCCTGAGGTGTGCCTGTTGTATGCTTTCTTCAGAAAAAGAAGAAAGGCTTGTTGGAGAACTAGGCATTTGGTAGAGAGCATGGCCATTCCACTGTCAGACATAAGTGCATCGGTGCCACTGCAACGCTTTCAGAACAAGCGTCTTTTATGCAATTTGTTCCAAATGTACAAGTTTATCATTAATATCCAACAACATTGCTGTGATTGAAGTCTTTCTCTGTGTTTGGAACAGCTCTGTCTTGTCTTTTCCAGGCTGGTGGAGCAGGAGGCTTGTTGTCGGGGTTATCTGGGCGATAAGGGTGCAGCTGTGGGGAAGGAGGCAGAGTTCCGAGGTGAGCCGAAGGGTGAGGTGGGGGAGAGGTGGCGGGGGCTGGCCAGCAGGTCTCCATTGTGCAGCTTCCAGAGCAGCTCCTCGTTCTCCATGGACAGACGCTTGTTGACCTTGGACTCCTTCTGCAGCGTCTGCTGGAGTTTGGCCTGTTCGCTGGAGAGCTGCCTGCAGGGGGAGACAGAGAGCTGATTCTATTATCTGTACAAACTGCTTTACCCAGGTGAACTGAGAACTGTCCAAGCGGGAAGTCTCAACAAACAACAACTGAAGTAAGAAGCATATAGACATCTTTTTACAGTCATATTTAGTTTTACATTATTACAATATAAAGTATTTCATTTGATTCTACCGTAGAGTATTTCATTTTACATTCTGTTTTTGTCCCTTGCACCAGTCTCTTGGCACCATTTTTCTTGAATTTTTTTATTTCTATTGACTTCTAAGTATATTGTATTGTAACGACGAGACGCCGTTACTGTGGATATAATCATTGTACTGTGTGGGGTATATTGACGACAACTTCCCTGTTCCCCATGTATGTTGTAGCTGATTGTGTGCACCTGGTGCCCTGTGTTGTCTCCTCCCCTCCCACCTGTGTTTAATTGCTCCCCCTCACCTGTGTTTGTTAGTGTCTGTTTATTTAAGTGCTGTTTCTTGTTGGGCTGGAAGTGTGTGTGAGATCCTTGTGGCTGCAGGATACGAGAAAGGAGAACAGCATGATTGAGGCTGTGAACTTTGTACACATATTTGAATAAATGCCCACGTCGGGTTATATTTTTGGACGTTCTGCCTCTGCCTCCTTGCTTGGTCTGGGCCGCTCAACGGTCAGTCTCACAATTGGTGTCAGAAGTGGGATTCGACAAAGTGAGGAGGTAAAATTGACGAGAGGAAAGAAGAGGGACCAAAGAGAGGAACCGCGGCTGGGGGTGGCTATGCCTGGAACTGACCAGGGGGCCACGGCTGCTGAAGCAGCAGGAGAAGAGAGACAAGCAGCAGGAGACGAGAGGCAAGCGGCAGGAGACGAGAGATAAGCAGCAGGAGATGAGCGAGCCATTGGAGCGGCGTTTGCAGGCCGAGGAGGCGCACCCGGAACCCCGGGGAGTCTGCAGGACCTGGGTCGTGCTGGAGGCGGACCAGCGCCTTGCAGCGGGCCGGGACAGCTTCCGGATGGGTGGCAGCACGACATGTTTGACGACATTTGAGGGTGTGTCCATAGCCTCAGGGGAGGGATCTAGTGTGTCCATAGCCTCAGGGGAGGGATATATTAGGTCCATAGCCTCGGGGAGGGATCTGGTGTGTCCATGGCCTCAGGGGAGGGATATATTAGGTCCATAGCCTCTGGGAGGGATCTGGTGTGTCCATGGCCTCAGGGGAGGGATCTATTCTGTCCGTTTTAGAAAGCCAAGACTGTCTATCCCGGGCACTGTGCGCTTTTGGAGAAAAGGGGGGGAATGTAACGACGAGACGCCGTTACTGCTATTTATTAAATGACATTAATTATATAAGTGTTCACCCCTCATCTTGTCTGTTGTTTCCGGTCGTCTCTGTGTTCCCTTCTGCTGATTATCCGATTGTGTTCACCTGGTTCCCTGTGTTTGCTCCTCCCCTCACCTGTGTCTAATTGCTCCCCCTCACCTCTGTCTTGTTAGTCTAGTGCTGTTTCTTGTTGGGCTGGTGTGTGTGTGAGATCTTTGTGGCTGCAGGATGTGTTCATGGAGAACAGCAGGATTGAGGCTGTGAACTTTGTGCACATTATTTTAATAAATGCCCACGTAGGGTTATATTATTTGGACGTTCTGCCTCTGCCTCCTTGCTTGGTCGGGCCAGTCAACGGTCAGTCTCATATTCATAAAAACATGTTCTTACGCAATATCAAGCCACGATTATTGCTTTTATTTAAAATCGTATCATTTCGGACTTTTGTTGTTGTCTGTGAGGAAAATAAATGGGGCTCATTTTTCCTTCTAATTTGTTGTTCTTTTCAAAATAACACACTGTTATTTAGTCAACAATAACACAATTATCCTTGTTTTTATTTATTTGTTTAATTCTATAATCTCGGGCTTTTTTGCCGTCCTTCAGGAACTGAATTTCAAAATAAAAATAACCGGAAACAGACGTAGGCCTATAAGGGACATTTCGAGCATCATCGAGTTTAGGATGGCCGAAGACACTACACTACCCATAATCCCCAGCTATCGTTTAGGACTACAGTCCCCGTGATTAAACTTCAAGTCGGGATTGGATGTTGGAGTGGCAGTGCGCCAAGGTTACGGAATCGAAACTGGATCGAACGCCGCCCCCCCCCAACAATTAGAAGTTGCCAGTATTAAACACCAATTATTAACTAATTAAAATGAACCGATTAAACATCTCTCTGACACAGTTTAAACGCATTTCAAGTGGAAGAATTGTTCGTGTCTCCTCTTCGTGTCTCGGGAAGCTGGAAGCTGTATTATTTTCAAAAAATAAAAATAATAAAATATATTTTTTAACCATAACACAACATTGAGTCAAACTTATCCTTGTTTTAATCCTTGTTTTATTTATGTTAAATTGTTGTCGTAGGTTAATTTTCCATTTTATTTATTTTGGTTTAAGATATCATTATTTTTTATTTATTATTATCATGTTAGATGTTTAAACTTTTCTGCATTTTATAAGGCAATATATACTTTTTTGTTTTTGTCCGTAGGCTACTTAGGTTATTAAAGAGTTATCGTGTCAAAATATAGGAAATGTATTAATATTTTATTGTATAATCGGTACAGGAAATTACATCATTCAGAGCACCACCTATTGGCCAAAGACGCTGCCACCGGCATTGCGATCCATCCTCTGACAAAGTAAGTTGGGTCACTAAAGTCTGATACATGTTTTGCTTAGATTTAATAATTGGGGCTTTTTTTTAAGCCTTTACTCGCATGGTTCATCATACATACTGAACTGTTCTAAGTCTGAGAAATGCTTTCGCCATAATCAGCAAAGCAACATTAATGTGAAATTATTCTTGCGGGCGGCTAGCTAGCTAGCTCACGTTCAACATAAGCTTAAACTGGTTTAGCTACATTTATATCGGCTCATAAGTGGTGTGTGAAATGTTTTTTGTCTTAATTACGGCTACATATGTCGGTGTTAAAGTGTGAGTTATACGTTATCTTAATCGCTTTTGTTTTACACATGACAGTACTAACG